CATCTCCGGCTGCAGCCCGCAGCCCCCAGGTTTTTCCGAAAGTTCTCCTGGCTAATATAGGTACCACCTTTTAATTACTTTGTCCAGATGTTTGATCCAAGTTAATTTTGAGTCTATGATTACCCCAAGATATTTAACTTCGTCCGACATCGTAACTAGGTTTCTCTGAAGGTAAAGAGGTCCAAGTCCCTCCATTTTTCTTCTTTTGGTAAAGAAGACAATTGTGGATTTGGTGGCACTAATTCTGAACCCCACCTAGAGATCATTGTTAGAGCCTGCTACATGCGATCTCTAGCTGCATGGTTCAATTCTTCCTGGGATTTTATTATTATATTCATAGCTCTATCAGCTAGTCCATCACCAGATTCCACAGCAGGGGTGATAATACTCCGCCTTGCGGACATCCCTTTGCAACCCGAGCCGTTACTGTTTTACCTGGGAGCGTGGAGTGGATGACTCTACCTCGAAGCATGCAGTCTATCCATCTGCAGCATGTATCATCAATACCTCTTCGGCGTAGAGCTCTCATGATTCCTCGAAGGAAGTGTTGTCAAACGCACCTTCTATATCAAGGAAGGCTCCCAACATAACTTCCTTATTTTCCAGCGTACTTTCTACCCGCTGGACGAAGTGATGTAGTACTGTTTCAAGTGTTTCAGTTGACGTTCCTGCTTTGTAAGCATATTTGCCCGGATGAATTGGTCTGGTAGCCAATGCACCACCCCGAATGTGGAGTCAAAAATGACATGAGGCTTATGGGTCTCAGAGCTTTTGCATTATCCTGACCTATTTTGCCAGGTTTGGGGATGAAAACAACTCTGATTTATTTCCAGGCTTTGGGAAAATGATTTAGTACCAAGCTTGCTTTAAATATAATCAGGAGCCTGGAGTATAGCGTGCTATTGCCTTTTTGTAATAATACTGCATAAATCCCATCTGGTCCTGGTGTCGTATTTTCAAAAACATTCGAATGCCGTTCGTATACGAAATAAGGCGAAATTCGCATGAAAATTGAGGTTCCGTATTCTCGAATCACTTTCGAACAGTCCGTACTCGAGTAAACGTACACGACGTTTACTCGAGTGGGTCTCTACCAGTCGAATGTCACATTTCGCATGCGATTTTACTTGATTCCGCGCATTGTTTGGAATTTTGAAGTGCTTATTATTTTGTTTATATACGTTAGATTTGTTGTTTATGTACCTAAATACGTTGTGCAAATTGAAAATTGTGTTTGTTGTTCGTTCTCCTTTTGACTTTTCATTCGTTTCCAAATAAATTGTGAATTAAATTGTGCTTTATCAAAAGACAGTTTTTGGTTTGGCTGGCTTAGATTATTTAATCGAAAGAAATGTTATTGATGCCCTCGAAGAAGCAAAAATACTGGCAGATAGTAGGGTGTTACATCCCTTTCTTGATTCGCTGGAAGAATTTTCGTGTAGGTACTGAGTTCCGAAAATTATATTGCCTGACGAAGCCACTCACCTCGGAGTTCATAGAGCTTTTAGAGCCCCATCCAAAAACCATGATTGTTCATTAACGTTATAAAAAACAAGGATGTCCCAAGGATTAGGTGCACAAAATTTATTTCAGCAAGATCTATACCAGCATTTAAAAAGTCAGATGTCGAAAAATTCGTCTTCGTTTTTGTGTCGGTCTAAATGGCCATTATCAAATACTCGAATTTGCGAGGTTGCCAACGCAAATGAGACTCGTATACGACATCATTTTCGAAGGATTTTCAAAAATACGCATTTTAGTTCGTACACGACTTTTTTCATTCAAATTAGATTGCATGCGAAGGAATTCGCATGGTTTCGAAAATACGACCCCTGCGATTTATATGGCTCGAATGAGTCAATGACTTATTTCAGCCTACGCCATGTTACTACTTTCTTTGTCATCTGCCAGTCTTCCCTAGTGTCATATCTGGTTGTGGTTAGGTCTACATAGTGACGGTTTTCGGCGTTTTCTTCAAGAATCACACTGCCCGGGAAGTGTACTCTGTAAAGCTCTTCCAGAGTTTCCTATCCGGTCTGAGTGTACTTTCCATTTAATGTTCTTAGAGAGCCAATCGTTCCTGAAGTGTCCTTGGAAAAGATTTTATAGAGCCTAGCACATTGAGGAGTCTGTGCGACCTCCTCACAGTGTCTTCTCCATGATTCCTTCTTGGATGCTCTCAGGCATTTGTTATATTCAGTCAAAGCCTCACGGTACTTGCTCCACTCTCCTGTTCGGTTTGCTTTGTTGAAAATTTTCCTTGTTTTCTTCCTTTGTTTTTCGAGGTCGTTGTTCCACCAGGGGCCAAATTCTCGTCTAAGGGAGTAGAGCTTCCTGATAGAACGGATGTTTTGTCCTTGTCAACGTAATCGAAAAGTAAATGAAAATGTTAGACACATTAGCTTTGAAATTACCGAGTCTGTGATCTGAACTACTCACCTCATATGCCACTTTTTCACGAAACCACTAATAAATGTTGTAGATATCGTGATGTCGAGTATCTCTTTTCTAACAGTTGTTATAAAGGTAAGTTTATTTACCGTGTTTAATATGCCATAATAAATTGTAGAAATGACTCACCTCTATTGTTGGTGTTTGTGCTGCCCCATATAGCATGGTGAGCATTCGCATCACATCCCATTTACCTTTTGCTCTGCAACTCATTACCAGGTTCTGTACTTCCTTGGATGGTGGCTCTTGAGGATCATTTCCTGGAAGGTACGCAGAACCGAGTACTAGCTCCCTCTGCCCCCCAGCTGACGATCTAATCTTCACCGCAACAAGGATCCTGAAACAGAATTTCGTTAGCGGTAACATTTTTATGTTTTTTTCTTAACTAGTATACAAGCTCTAGGGGTTTCAGTGGATCTGCTGTATATTAGCTCTCCATTGACTCCCGACAGGCCTGCGATTTTCCCTCTACTTACCCATGGTTCCTGTACAAGTGCAATGTCGTACTTTCCCATGGTCCTAGTTAGAGCGGCAGAGGCAGCTTCACTCTGCTGCAGGTTTATTTGAAGGACCCTGATCCCCTCCATCGTTGGCCCGCAAAGCCCCAAATGACGCCTCCTCTATGGAGTACGTCACCGTCAGTCCTCCTTTTTCTGCCTTCTTGGACTTCAGAATCCAGTCCTTGAGCTCCCGGTTCTGTCTGCCGGCGTACATTGGAAATTTTAACACATCGTGGACGAAACCTGCAAAATAGTGATATGGATAACTTATCCTAGCAGGACCGATGCCACATTCGTGAGCCATTGGAGGATTGAAATGGTTGGGTATGCGGGAGGAGAACGAAGCAGCCGTATATTCGTCAAAAATCTATCAGGTGGGTTGGTTAGCGCAGTTGAGAGCTTCGTACCAGCGTTGCCATGGTCGCGAGTTAAAATCCCGCACTAACTCCGACTTTTTAAATTTTTCTTGATTTTAATTTCCTCTAAAATTTTTTTAAAAACATTAGTTTCGGTACCTTTAACCGACTAAAAATTCATTCCCTTGTTCAATTAATTATTTCAGCAAGTGGTCTCTAAAGTTTTCCCTATTCTAAATCAAGAAGAGTGAGTCTACTGTTGCAAAAATCCTCGTCCACAACGCAACGCTTCTACTAGGTTGGAAGATAGAGCTAGATACTACAGAAACTTCTTTGTTTGTTTTTTCAAAAGAACGGGTCCAAAGCCAAAATCCAACATTTATCTCTAATAAATCAAGCGCAAAATGACAAAAATCTTATTCATTAAAGTAGGTACCTACCTACTTAATAATAATAATGTATAATTATATTCTTATTTATCTTGATAACAAATAATTAACGAACCAACTCTGATAATAAAGTATTAGGTGATTGTTGAAAAGGAAATCTGGTAACTATTAAAATATTTCTACAATTAACAGAGTGGCTATTAATAGAGTAAAACTGGAAAAGTTTGCTTAATTTCAATACAATCGACCCAGATAATAGCGTGATGCGGATTATGCGCCACGAAGTCAGAGGCGGACAAAGACTTGCATCCTGCTTCTAATACTTTTCTTTGAATATGGCTACGAATCTTTGAAAGAGAAAGATCTATAAATTTCCCAAAAATTCTATTATTGTTTGAGATGAAGTTTTGGGATATTATTTTTTAGATCCTCATTGTTGGTAACTACACTTAAGTGCAAAGAAATTGGCCCACTGCTAACTTTTGACTTCACCAATTTTTTTTTAGAAACTATTCATAGGATTATTATTATGATTCATAATTTCAACTCATATTAGATGATATTAAATTGTTTTTCAAATGGCATATTTCTTACTATAATCTAATGAATAGTTTCTAAAAAAAAATAGTTGAAGTCAAAAGTTAGCAGTAGGCAACTTCAGTGTACTTATATTCTATATGCCGCGACGCTCGTGCTCTTTTTTTTTTGTATTCTTCAATATGCTTTCTTGTAGGTATTCAAATTCACAGTACAGACAAGTGAAATCATGAGATACGTATGTTATTGACCAGGTTGCAGATGTTGAGCGACACTGAATAATTATTCTTTAAAATAAGTTGCATCCAAAACCTAAAATAAAATTTGATAATTGACAATATTTTTGTATGAATTGAAGATACCGCAAATAAATTGTGTGTTTAGATGATTGAAATTAATCATCAGAAAAATAGCATAAAATTATATGCGCGCATCATTATTAGCCAAGTGGATCGCAGTGTTCTAGATTCACCTTTCTGCACGGTACCACTTTCATCAACCGCTGATAAATGTATGGAAACAATCAAGTTTTTTTTTTGCTTCTACAGAAATAGCATAATTTATGATATGAAATCCTTCGTGCAATTGACGATAATTTTCTCTGATAGTTTCCTGGTACTTTTGAAGCATTTTGCAGCAGAGCAATAAAATTTCTAATCTCTCAATTATTATTGCCAGAGAAAATTTTTCAATGCGGCTTCCTTATTAATTATTGTGCTTATTTTGACAACATACACGAAATATGGAACCACCAATTGGTGGTACTACCAAACCATACAATTAGTTTCAGCAGCAGGGGAAACCTGCACGCAACCGGCTTCTGCAAGAAAACAAATACAAGAAGTTGATGGCAGTTACCTTTCCGTGATCGGCTAAGAAACAGTTTCTTTCGATAAATTGAAGCGTATTGATTTCGTTTTAATTGAGTACTAACGCGCTCGTAATTTGTGTTTTAATTTTTGGTGATTTGGTGTTTTTTTTTTTTTTTTTTGGTTGGAGTAGATATTATTGTTGAACGTAAGTGTAGTGGTACCTACTTATACTTTTTCAACTTTTGTCAACATCTATTAGTGGCCTAAGGTAAGGTTAACCCTTGGCCTATATATAATCTAAGGGTTAACCTATTTGTAGGGATTTGCTTCATGCATTTTCCTTACACTTTGGGGTGCAAAAAAATAGCAATTAAATGAAGAGGTGTTAATTATTATTTTGAAATACATTTTTTTTGTAAGTTCATTCTCTAATTCTGATCTTCTTGAATAAACATTTTTGTGGAGTATTTTTTTTCGGCAAAAATAATTTAAATTTACAGAAATCAAATACAGATATTGAATTTCACATTCATTCAATTGAATCTATAAATCAAGTAAACAAAAATATACAGTTACCATGTTCACCTTGTCATAGTTAAGGCAATCGAACTGGAAAAAATGAGTTAGTTCTAGAATAGGTGCATTTATTTAATTGGAAAATTGTTCAATGCTGTATTAAACTATAACTATAATAATAGATCATAGTAGTGCAAATCTAACATGTCTCTTTAGACGCTAAGCCGCAAATTTCTTGAAATTAGAGAGAAAGTCCTCTGAATTTTATTTTATTACAATAGCTTATCATTATTAACAAAAAAATTAATTAAAACATTCAATAAGTGGACCAAGTGTTACGCATATCACACTCAAACTAATATTCTTTAAATATTCTCTCGGTTGTAAAACATAAAACATTTCGACACAAAACAGTAAATACCGGGTTAATACGTACCTAATTACTAATTTGTATAAGAAAATTTCTACCATACCATTTTTGAATTGAATAAAACATCTCTCGACGCCTTTTGTATTCTAATTACTTACCTACCTTAATTTCTCAGTATTATTTCAACACCATATTATATGTATTTTGTTAGCACAGAGGTTTCATTAAAAAGAGGAAAATTAACTAGATACCTAGTTGGTATAATATTAACAAAACTAGAAGAGTTTCGTAAGAGACGTGTACCAATCTTGCATAAATTAGTTTTGGTGTTCAAGTTTTAGAAACCAACTTAGGAAATTAGAATATAATTATTTGGAAAATTATGATAATATATGTAGATAGACATATATTTCTATGTTTCTCTGCAGATTTCGCACAAATTATAGTTTGGTCATCTTTTAATTTGCTTTTGTGGTTATAATTCTGGAATGGCTAATGAGCCAGTTGCTTTTTCTAAAGTTTCTGGTATTGATTCTTGTTATTTTTTTCTCAAATTGCTTGTTCCGCAGCTTTTGGTAATGGTTCTTGGAGCTCCTTTGATTTCTTATGAATGGCCTAGTGATCCTTCTATAGTGCACTGGTACTGAGTCCTAATCCTACAGAGCTGTTCTTTTTAAATTGGTTCTTCTAATTAGCATTATTGAAGCTTTTCCTCTTCTTGCCCTTCTCCAACGTTATTTATTGCTTTTTCTGAAGCCGCTAAAATTGATTCCAGAGGTCCTTCTGCTCCAAGTGCTTTCTCTAAAGCTTTTGATAAAGGTTTTTGAAGATCTACCAAGAATAGCTCATGGGTAAGTCGCTTTTTCTATAACCAGTGCTATAATTATTGAGAGTCTTCTTAAAGCAGTTCTTCTGAGGTTTCTATACCATTCTTGAAACATTTCTTATCCAGCTAGTTTCTCACGGTTAGTTGCTGTTTCTGAAGCTTCTAGTACTGATTTTAGAGGCATTTCTTCTAAAAATGCATCTTCATAATCTTTTGATAAAGATTCTTGATGCTTCTTTTTTTGGAAGATTGCTCAGGAATAGCTAATTGTTTGTTGCTTTGTTGAAGCAATTGATGTTGATTGTTGAGTCTCTTCTTCTTGAAACGCTTCCCATGTAGCTTTTGTTGATGGTTTCTGAAGTTCCTCTGATTTGTCAGAAATAACTTCTGAGTTGGTTGATTTTTTCTGATAATACTGGAATCGATTGTTGAAACGCTTCTTTTCAAACTTCAATTTTCATATTGGTTTTTGATGTAAGTACGTTTTTCAATTCATTTCTTGAAAATAGATAATAACTGATTTTTTTGGAAGTTTTGTTATTGATTCCTACGGATTCTTACGGTTCTCCTTCTTAAATTGCTTCTTCTGTAATGATTTCAATCTTCCTTTTCGAAATAATTCCTCAAAAATAGCTAATGAATGAGCTAGTTGTTGTTCGGGAGCTTCTGGAACTCATTCTTACTACATTCTAAATATTTTTTTTTTGAAGCTTTTGGTGATGATTCCTAAAACTTTGTTTTTCTTTGTCTAGTTCCCTGGAGTAAGCTGCCAATTCTGAAACTTCTGGTAGGAATTGATTATTGAGGATATTCTTCTTGAACTGCTTCTTCTAAAGCTTTTGATGATGACTCTTGATACTTTCTTTTTGAATTGAATATCGTGAAGCTAACAGTGTGTCCCGCTTAAGGACTGACCACCTTTCTAAAATTTTTATTTTTTAAACGATTCAATTTATTTTTTTTGTCTTACCTATATCTACTCGAATTTGGCACAGGTTAATAATTTTTTTTTTCTACTGACGTTTCATAATAGCAACTTTTCGATTGTCATTTCAGTTTTGAAACGACATTCTTTTAGGCACTGAGTGCGTGAAAGTTACTTTTAGGCACTCAGTGTGTAAAAGTGACTTTTGAATGCGTAAAAGTGACTTATGAGTGCGTAAAAGTAATTTTTAAGCACTAGTGCCTAAAAGTGTCATTCATTATTCAGAAATAAAAAACACACTAAACACATATTTGAATTTTGTTTTGTATTTATTATGAATATTGAAAATGGAATTACTGAATTGAACGTTTGGGTTACTCAAAACAGAACTTTGTGTTATTACCTACTTTCTAGGATTTTAATTATTGATGTCGAATTTTGAAAAGAAAATCGCATGAAAAGTGTCAGGTGTCAAGTAAAAGCAGGTAACAAAGATTTTGGGTGTAATCGACTTATTCACATGAAATAAAATTGTGTTTTTTTATTATAAAATGCCAGTAGAAAAAATCTTGTATACAATACGTTACGAAACGATGTCTTTTAGTCACTCGACGTGTTGTCCAACTCGGCTTTGCCTCGTTGGACAATTTTCACGTCGCGTGCCTAAAAGACGCTCATTTCGTAACTTATTGTATAAATAGCTATTTTTTTGCGGCTGTACTACAGGGTGTTCACATTTATAGGCTGAAATTTCAGTAAGTACCATTAGAGATTTTGTTAGAAAAAATCTGATAGCAAATTATTGTCTAGAATGGTCTAAAACCCAAATTTTCTAATTTTTGTTCCAATACAATACAGGGTGATCACAACAAATTTCGAAATTTCCAAACTTGAATTAAACCGCAAAAATTTCAGGTTTTGAGACAAGCTTACTACAAGTTTTGGTTAAGGATGTTCTTAAACTTGGAATGTAGGTACAGGGTTTTAGACTGAAAACGGATATTATTGCATCAGAAATTCAGAAATTGAACATCGATTTAGTAGCACTAACCGAAACCAAGAAAAAAGTAAGTGACACCGAAAATGTTGGAGAATATATTCACCATTTTACTGGACAGTGTCAAATGAAATGAGAGGAGCTAGAGGGATATCCATACTGATAAGGAAAAACTGGGAAAACAAAATTAACAACTAGAAAGCTGTAGATGAAAATATCCTAACGGTCAACTTGAAACTACATGGCTATAACATCACCATTATAGCAGCCTACGCTTCATCAGAGGACGAAAGAGTCGGCATTTAGAAGGAGTTCTTTGACGAAGTGGATGAAATCCTAGTAGATACTGGAAAAAATAGCGAAAACATAATGATAGGGGAGAAGAAATAATCAATGATAATGGCCAAAGGCTCATACATCTCTGTGAGACCCACAATCTTAGAATAAACAATGGATTTTTCAAACACAAAGATATTCACCGCTACACATGGATACAAAATACCCGTAACCTGAAAACAGATCAGTTTTTAGTAAGACCCAAAATAAAGTTCCAATTTAGGATAATGGGCTCTTTCACTAAAATTTAAATACGTAATTTAGGTATAAAATCCCAAAGGAGGGACTATTTTAGGCACATATACCAAAAAAAAATTTTCTACAAGGTTAAATAAGTTTTTTACAGGCATTTTAATCTACCAAAATTTGAATTATTTAAAAACGCGCCGATTTGCTGACGTCGCATAAATATTTTTCATTTCGCTTGTTGTTGCAAACAGCTGTCCGCCTCTGCTGTATTTATCCTGTAGTAAATGCAGGTAAAGGTTCGAATGCGCTGTTGTCGGTGGTGACTAAATGTAGTGCAACGTAAAATAAATAAATAAAACTAAACATAGAAAATTATATTAAATTGTGTTTAAGCATAATTTCAATAAAAATGTTATAAAATCTTGAATCCATAACTAATTAATTTAACTACTTTTCATGAAATTTTGCGAACATTTCAGAATTAAATCTATTACAAATTTTCAATGTTGACAATTAGTGGCAACACGGTCAAATAGCGAGCTGCGACGTCATAGAAATAAATTCTGGGTTTTTATTTGGAGGTATTTCTTTTTTTTCTGTTTTCTCAAGAAGGACTATGAATTTTTCAAAAGTAAAAATACAGAAAATTCTGTTTTTAGTTGCTTTATCCAAATATGCCAATTTCAAAAATTAGTGAAAGAGCCCATTAACAAGAACCCAGACGAACAAAACACCAATTCCATACTAACGGGCACAGTGGATACAACAAAATACAATATTGAAAGTTTTAGAGATGACAGCACTGTATTTCTATATCAGAGGCGACTCGACAGCAAACTATTGAACCCTGAATGTACCTTCAATAAACTCTATGAGAACATTATAAGTAGTCTCATAGAAGCCACTCAAGAACCAATAGGAACGAAGGAAATAAATACCAACAAGAAATACTGGTGGAATGAGGAGATAGAGCTATTAGTCCAAGAGAAGCAGCAAAAATATCTGAAATGGCTAACAACAAAAAATGGACAAGACCTTGAAGTTTA